GAAATAGCTCCTGCATCGTATGAAAATGGGAATAGTGTAAAATACCCGAATATTCCTTTCTATGGAAATCCAAAAATTTTGAAAGAAGGAGAAACAAGCTCGAAAAAAGGAAAAGCCAATGATTCGGGAAAAGTGGCTACTTCAAATAGATTTTCTGTTTTGCAAGGACTGACAGAAGAAAACCAAGAGAAAATGTTTGGGAATAAAGGAGAGGATAGGGAAATTTGTGAAAAGGTCCATGAAGATGGGGAGAACAATAAAATTAAAAAAAGATTTTCAATCCGTAAAAATATAAAATTGTTACAAGAAAATTCCCCATCTCCAGCTCCTTCACCAGACAGCGCTCCAATTTTTGATGACGATGATAAAACTTTTTGGTGTCCCAAAGTTATTAATGTTATGGTTATGGGATCATTGGCACTTTCTGGATTGCATCAAATGGGGGATTTGAAGTGTAAAATCTGTAAGTTGATAAGTTGAAATGCTTTTAAAGTCACAGGTTGGGCTAAAGTCTTTAGGAGATAACAAAAAATCTCTCTTTAGCCATCAAAGCCTAACAAGTATTTTTCGATTCCTTCATGTTCTATCACTTCCGTGTGTTTAGCAGGGATCCAGAAAATCTGGAATCGTGATTCTCTAACACGGAAATTAATACTCTGTGGAGCCTATCCTATTTGTGAAGCTTTATCGTTTTAGCTTACTTCTATACTCCTTGGAGACAAAAATAGGAGTCTACAACGGGTTCCAGGATATCCACAGGTATCTCCCAAGATATCCAAGGATATCTTCCTCCTTAAGAAAGTACTCTGTTCCTAGAAATATTTTAAAAATTTAAAACAGCCCCCGATTTTGGAATTAATCGAAATTTGCCTTCTTGCATCAAAACCAACGAGACACACAACCACATAAACTTCAATTGCGATTCCAAAAAAAATGTAGAAGCCTCAGAAAAAAAATTCTTCGAGCACTACAAGAATAACCAAATTTTCGAATTGTATTGCCCCATTGGAAAAAACGGGGAAATGGAGAAGGTTGCTGAGGCTAACGCTACACGTATTAACCGTAAATACAAAAAGAACTGGAAGTTGAAGTTTGTTCAGCAAAAGAAGGAGAATTAAGAGAAATTAATTGAGGAGGGGAACTGATAAGAGAATGTCGATGATTAAATGTTATATTATACAGTCGGGACCTCAATTTTGAATTCCTTTTAAGGGCTAGAATATTTTTATTTAAGTAAGAGCGAGGTAAACGTTTAATCCCGGGCAGGCTTCGATCCTGCGACCTCCTGGCAGTTATTGCTAGGCGCTTTCGCTCACCACGTACAGGTGCTCTACCGACTGAGCTGCCGGGACGCTGCTTTTCACCTTCTCTTTTAATAGATCTTAAACCCCCGCCTAGTGAGCGTTTTAAATGTAGCCAGCTGGATCTTTTCTCTCTTTCTCTTGCTTACATTAAAAATGCGGGGGTTTTGAGGTACCGTTTTAGAGGGTAAAGCCCAAAACAACAGGCGGCCATAACAACGCAAAGCCAAAACTAGCCGGCAAATTTCTGGCCCTTATCAATTTTGGTACCAAACTCTCTAGCTCGATGAAAGGAATCGTTTAATACTAAATTTGTTAAGATTTGGAAATTTGAAGCAAGTTATGGCTTTGCGTATGTTATGGCCATCAGGGATGAGCGCAAGAGCCAATCTCAAAAAACGCAAAACGCAAAACGCAACGCAAGGCCAAAATTTAACGCAAATAACGCAAAACGCAAAACGCAAGAACGAAAAATTGGGAAAAAATTTTTTTTATCATGTATTACACATTTTTTCAGTTAAAAATCGAAGTATTACTATAAGTTGGGGAGTCCTACTCGATTTTATGATACATGTAAGTTGAATGGGTAATGATTTGGAGTAATATAGGGGATATAAGGGATTATTAAGGATATCAGAGGATTTACAGGGATCAAGGGGTTTAACAAAGTAGCTGGTTATTACGGATGTATTTTGGAGGGATCAACAGATTTGAAAAAATCCATGTGATTAGCGAAGGATGTCGGTTAAGTTGGGGATATATCGAAGGATAAGGGGCTACTAATGTTATGAATTGATGCCGGTGAATCAGGGGATTTGGAGAGAACGTGAGATCTGAGTTCCAGATACTAAACCGATATTTTTTTAACTGCTCCATGATGGAAACATGGTAATTAAATCCCTACTTTTGGCGCCGCAGGCAAAAATTTTGAGAAATTTGGAAATCCAGAAGCTAGATTTCTTTCAATTTTTGCTCTCAGATTAAAAAGATAACAGGGATTTTAGCATAAAGTAGGTATCAGGGGTTGAAGAGATATAAGAGGATTAAGAGGATATAAATAAAATTGGTGCAGGTTTTCTAAATTAAAATGATGCTAGATGATTTGATGAATCATAACCCTTCTAACCCTTCAGGACAACAGATCTTTCCCTTAACCACTCATTATACTTCTTCATTTAGCGCCGCAGGCGAAAATTTTAAGAATTTTGGAAGGCTAAGTAGCCAGATTTCTTCCTTTTTCTGCGCCGCAGGCGAAAATTTTGAGAAATTTGGAAAGATAAGAAGCTAGATTTCTCCAATTTTGTCCTCAGATTGGGTATATTTTTTGCCTATTTTTGCGTTAATTTCATCGAAAAAAACGCAAAACGCAAAACGCAACGCAAGGCCAAAATTTAACGCAAATAACGCAAAACGCAAAACGCAAAACGCAATGCGCTCACCCCTGATGGCCATGCGTTGTGTTGGGCGATCCCCCGTTTTAGTAGGGCTGAGTGTATCATAGTGGTGTGTTGTTTAGGCCGTTTCCACCTTCCCTGTAGCCAAACAGATGTTAAATTTTTATGTAAAGATAGGTATCTGAAATTGGGAGTATTTAAAATCGAGGTTAGACTGGCCGACTCCTTGTAGTGAGGTTCGGCTGTATACAAAAATGTCTTCTTTAATTTATTTTCTAAAGTTGTATCCATTCTTCCAATATTTATTAACATTTTGCTAGTTTAGTTTACACGATTGTGATCTATATTTAATTTTCGGGTAATAATTGGAGTTATCCTTTTATGTCCAGCAGTGATGGAAAGATTCCGGTACCGGTTTCGGAACTGGGCGGTTCCGGAAGTGGAACCGGTAAAGGTCCGGAACCGAAACCGCCAAAATTAAAAAACCGGTTCCAGAACCGGAACCGGTTCCTGAGAAATTTTTGGAAGTTTTCCATCACTGATGTCTAGAGACAGGATTTTTAGGCAAATGCCTGTTTTTTTCCCAAATAGGCCTGATGCTAAAACGTCTAAATCAGGTGTTATTTTACTGATATCTTCTTTCTAACTAATTTTATCGTTGCCTAAAATTGCCTATTTTAACTTTTTCTGGCAAAATGCCCTATTTTGCCTTTTTTCGGCCTATTTTGCATATTTTTACTAAAATTTGAGAATTTTTGGGCATTTTTTGAGAAAATTTTGACTAAAAAAATTTTTTTTTGGTAAAATATAAATTTTTTCAAAAAAATTTTTGTCAAAAAATTTTTTTTGTGAAAAATTTTCTTCTGAAAAATTCATCAAATTATTTTTGGAAACAAAATAATTAATATAAATTAATTTATAGGTAATTCTGATCGTCAAAATTAATTTATTTAACAGTTTATTGCTTAGATTTATCTTTTTCGATAAAATTTTGTCAATTTAAATCAGAAAATCTCGAAAAAATCCTGCCTATTTTGCCTTTTTTTCGGATTTTAGTGCCTATTTTGGCAGTTTGTTAGTGCCTATATAGGCGCCTATTTTTAACTTTATCGTGCCTAAAAATCCTGTCTCTACTGATGTCCAGTTGTCTTTTGATTAAATGCTAATTGTCTTGTGCTATTTTGTCCTCTCATTCTTTACACTCAAATCAGCAATCAACCGTCTGATACCCAAAAATATACACTGAAATATTTAGCACTTTAACGGCTAGATTAAAAGCGGGCATTAAATAGCTCGACATTATGTAAACCCACATTTTGCCAATAAGGCTAAAAATTTATTTTTCGTCATTAAGCAGTAGTGACAAAACGTAAATTTTAAGCCTGATTGGCAAAATGTCGCTTTGGCAAAATGTGGAAATTTGAACGTCTCTTCTTTGGGACTGGGCCATAAGGGCGCGGGGCATTTGGGCGCGGGCTCTCGTACCTTTGTCTAAGTTTCCTAAGAATTTCAGAATTTTCGAGCAAGAATTTCAGAAATTATGGCCAAAAATGTTGATTTTCCGAAAAATGCCCAATTTTTCGAGGTTTATCGACTATAACTTCAGAAATATTCGATGAAAAATTCTGAAATTTCTGGAGGAGGTAGTCAAGGATGTTAAAAAGTGCTGGCGCCCAAATGGTCCCGCGCCCTTCTGACCCCCAGTCCCTCTTCTTGGGTACAGCCCGAAACGGCGCAAATCTATAACTTGCTGGAAAATTTCTGGCCCTCATCAATTTTGGTACCAATCTTCTTAGCTCGACAAGAGGAATCATTTAATACTAAATTTGGTAAGATTCGGAAACCTTGAAGCTAGTTATGGCTTTGCGCCTAATTGGCTGCGCGCCTACTTGAGTGTGTCGCTCATAAAACGTCTCCCTCACATTAAGTAAATCCACATTTTGCCAATAAGGCTAAAAATAAAGTTTTTGACATTAAGCTTTGTTGACAAAACGTAAATTTTAAGCCTGCTTGGCAAAATGTGGATTTGGTAAAATATGTTAACTTCAACGTCTCTCCTTTTACCACACTATTTTTTTACATTTTTTAAATTTTTTTCAATTATTTTGGGACACGCCCAAAAGGGCGCGCTGCCATAACGGCGCAAGGCCATGCTTAAAAATTTCTGAATCTAACAACTTTAGATTAAACCATTCCTCCCATCGAGATTCCAGCAAGTTATTGCTTTGCGCCGTTCTGGCCGCGCGCCCTTTTGGGCTGTACCCAATTATTTTTTTAATTTTTTTTTCAATTTTTTAGAAAAATTATGTTATTATTATTTTGTCATTCAACAATGAAAACTCTTCAAATTTCCAAAACTCTCAAGTTGCTTCAACACCAAAAATTAATTCAGACGCGTCAACTTAGCAGCGATTCTTATGCTCAACTAATTTTGCAGTATACAATGGCCTATGCTGAAAATAGTTTTATGGCCAAAACTTTTGTTTATACGTATCAAGGTTTTCTTTCTAAATTTCGGGTAATACTAGGGCGGTTTGGGTAGGAAAAATGAAAATAGTTTTGCGGGCAATTTTTGCGGATTTTATAGGGTAACCCCCTTTGCAACGTTTTTTGCGGACGATACTTGCGGACTTTTTTTTTGAAAAACCCCAGCAGGAGTGGGACCGGATTTGTTCCCTTACCCTTTTTTTCAGTTTCCGCTTTTGTTTGCGGAGGGGCTAAATCCTTGTACAAAACCGGTTGAGGGGAAACTTTCTTTCGGACAATTTTTGCGGATTTTTTGGGCGTAACCCTGGGCAATGATTTTTGCGGATTGAACTTGCGGACTTTGTAGAACTTGCTTGACTTTGTATTTTCGCGGTTAAACGCGGACATAACTTGCCGACTTTTTTGAGAAAGCGCAGCAAGGGTGGGACCGGATTTGTGCCTTCTTTTTTGATCCTTCTTTATTCGTCTTCCGCTTTTTAAAGGCGGAGGGGCTAAATTCTTATACAAAATCGGAAAGCCATAACGTCTTTGTTTAAACATCACAGATACTATTCTAGTATGCTTTCATTCAGCTTTTTTGTAGAAATTAAGAGATTCGCAAAATTTAACGATAATGTCCGCAAAAATTGTCCGCAAAAAAATTTGTTCCTTCTTCACAGGGAACTTTAGGTCTTGATTTTTTCTGCCTTTCTTTTTCAAGACACCAGTATAGCTGGGGAGACTTATCTCTCTTAATCCCTCTAAATCCCTGGATTTTCTTTTTAAAGGTTGTGGGTCTTCAGTGTCAATCGGCATTGAGGATTTGATTCTTCGGGGTAGATCCGTGTTTTTCTGTAT